AAATCGTGAACCGACGTAGTAGGAAAGGGTTTAACGAAAGCGGCTGTCGTAAAAGCGAAGTGCGAAACCAATGTCCGAAACACATGAGTCGACAAACGGGGACCAACAAGAAATAGACCAGAAGCAAGCAGGCCTGTAATGAAAATAGACCAGGAACGAGTTCCAAAGGATTATTCAGTAATTGACAAATGTCAACTTTCCTCAGTTTCCTTTCAAAGCTTCACCGTTGTTAGCACTCAAAATTCGCGAAGTATGCACCGTAACCATCTAGCTCTCCGACAAAGAATATGATTGAATAACAGGTTGGCATGTTTTCTCTCAACTTTTGGGTAATGCAAGTTGAAACACCGTGTCCTTAAACAAACATAAAGACCCAGTAATCGCTGGGATTCAACTTCGAATAGACAGATGCACAAGACATATCAAATCAGATTTCTAGCACGAAAATTTTCTCATATGATTCAGTACACTGGCTTCTGGTTCAATATCAGCTCTATAGATTGGGAATACTGTTTTACAGCTCGCACTTAGCTACAAATAAGAAAAATACTTCAAGTTGTATCCAGCACGAAAATAGACTAAATAAAAAGTTGATTTCTGGCACGAAAAAATTAGGCACGAAAGTAACTAGAAGATAACATGCGCACAATAATCAATTTCTAGCATGGAAGTAACTAAAGATTTACATTACTGTTTTCGATAAAAGACTTTTACATCTAATTTCAAAATGACAGGCTTCGAATATAGATGCACAAGAAATATCAAATCAGATTTTTAGCACGAAATGATTCAACAGTCAAGAATATTAACATTATTATTGAATAAAACCGAGTTGAAAATGAAGATAAGCGGATCCTCTTGTTAATTTGTATATCCTATAAATCTTGCACTAGAGAAAATATGGGCCCAAAAAAATAACATCCAGGAATTAGATTTGATACTCAGTCTAATATGTACGCAGCCTTAGTACGTGAACACCTCTTTCCAAATGTTCTAAATGAAATACAGATAAAACTTTCTACAAAATCTACATTTTGAAATGTGATAAAAACCATCAGATGCAGCAAACCTTTCGCAGTACAGCGCACATTGACCTATACTCATATCTCATATGGGCAGAATATGGATTGAAAAACAAAAAAAATTTTTTTTCTGAACTCTTGTTTGTGACAAAACATAACTCCTATCATACTTTGTTGTTACCATTTATAAGCAGCCTATCTTGTAGCCACAAGCCAGTAGTGCAAATATACATTAACGGTTTGAAGAAAAAAAATTAGCGAAGAGGGAAAAATCGAAATTCAAAAATATCAACTTTTTTAGCATTTTTTCAGTAAACCTCAAAACCCCGAAGTATAGAATTTTCTAATTTTCTGCGTAGTGAACACCTGGATGTTCTTGCAAAAACTGCTAATAGGACTCCTACCCTTACGCTTACAGAGATGAGCAAAGTTTGAGCACTGCATTCTACAAAAGAAAGTTATGGGCTCTAGAATGACCATAACCATTACCCTTGTTAAGCCGCCGATATCTCACTTCAGATAACTTCATAAAATATGGTTAAATATACATAATGACAATTTTACACAATGATATAGACAATTTCCATCACATATAGCGGTTAAATTTTCGATAAACCATCTTCATTCGCGCTCAAATTCTGGCCAGAAAAATGAATGCAACAAAAATCTGGTTTTGAGTGCGATTATTTGAAGCTTAATAAATTCTTAACAGAGTGGGCTAAAAGTCCATTTCGAACACGATTAGATAGAGCATGAAAAGAGCTTCCTAACAGTGTGCGAAAACCATTATAAAGAAAGAAGTTTGATGGGGAAAAGTTGTCCTGAAGAAAGTCCTAGGAAAACGCTCATTATTTTTGCATCAACCTAATATATCGTATATAGGAGTACCAGGGCGTACCCAGGATTTCGGCTCGGGGGGGGGGGGGAGGGGGGCAACAAAAATTTTTTTCTAAAGAAGGTGCGTGGCGTTAGCTCAAAACTTTTGCGGGTCCCCGACCCCTAGAATCTAGAAAAAGGGAGCGTGGCGTCAGCCACGCCCCCGAAAAAAATTTTTTTTACAAAGCTAATTTGAATTTTTAAAAAATTTAAAAAATTATTTTAATTATTTACAAAAATAAACAAGTCACTTGCACATTTTTATAACCCACATAGGTAACTTTCAAAAATTTCGCGACCCATTCTCGGGGGGGGGGCGCGCCCCCCCCCCTCGGTACGCCACTGAGGAGTACATAGGTTTCTTGTTATACCTAGCAGCTAGTTTACGCTCCCGGTAGGCAAGGTATTTTCTCATGTAAGCATCAATGTCCCGACAGACCTTCTTATATAAAGAGTTTTCAAGTTGACTGAGTAGTTCATGAAAAAGTCTTTGCTTCTGCTTGCTGAGTGCTTGTAGTTGCTTTGAAAGTTTGACCATGTTAAGTTGAGGAAAATGAGATGGGACAAATTCTGCTAAAGATTCATATAGTTCGGTACAAAATCTGCGGTAAATATCTGCGGAGGATATGTACCGGTCAAAAATTGCCAACCAATCGATAGCAGAGAGGTAATCATTCAATGCCTCATAATTGACATCAAGAAAGCTTCCTCGTATGGGCACTTTCACATCAAAAATATCCAGAGAAAGGCTGAAGAACACTATGGCATGATCAGATGAGGCACAGGGAGGAAGCACTTTGATCAGAGGATGGGTATGGTCGTAAGAATGACATCCAGAACATGGCCAGAATGAATTGGGCCATTAACATATTGCGTGAAACCACTTTTCTCAAACAGCTTGAGAATTTGTGATGATGTGTGTTTCAAAGGCTTAAAATCTGTCCAATTTATCAGCAAATTTAAATTGCCGAGAATGACAGTGGAGTCTTGCTCGGCCACTAAATCATATAGCAGATCGATAAGCGACTCATCATCAACATGTTTAGAAATAAGAGGGATAAGAAAATATCTATTTGGAATGAACTGCCAGTAAGCAAATCGGAAGAGAGAACATCGGCTTTCAAATTGCTTATGTGTTTGACAACTCGAACATTAAGCGATACTTTGACCAAAATGCAAACTCCCCCACCTTTGCATTTATTTATTTCCAACCGCACAACGATGTAGGAAAGACTCAGCAATTCAGAGTCAGAAACTTTGGCGGTGAGCTAAGTCTCAGTAATTAATACAATATCGGGCGTAGAAGACAGTAAAAGTAAATGCAAATGAGATACTCTATCCATCAGACTTTGTGCATGAACAAGTAGCAGCTCAATAATTTAGAATCACCATGCCAATCTATGCGTTTCATCGACGGTTGGGGGAACACATAGATTGGTTGAAACGATTGAAACATAGAACATAGATTGAGACGGTTTATGAAAACTATTTTCCAATGAAATAGATGTAAAAGGTAAGCATTCGACCTTCTTCTGCTTGCACTTGGAATCCTCCTCGAATCCCGCAAAAACGATATCCCCTTTGCTTTTAGGCCCCGAAACGATTTCCACCTTGTCATTTGCCCACCTCGTGCCGGGCCCTGCCCCGAACGTGGCCAATATCGCTCAAACGTACAAGTTCTCCTCGATATACCACCCATTCCCGCTCTGACTTACCCTTATTCCGCTCTCTCCTTTCGTCCTCGGTCACACTACGGCAAATAAAAACGTGGGGTAGCTGCTTGATCGAAGTAACCGTGCGTTGGCCAGTGCACGATCCCAGTAGAATTTCGAGGGGAGGACAGCTTTGACCAACCTGGGTCGATCATTATTAACCCTACCCATCCTATGAACATCAACAGGGCGGCAGTGAACGTCCACGACCTCAAGGAGATCACTGACTTTTACTTGAAGATACTTGCTTTTCCTTACCATCCTATTCTAATATAGTTGAATCACAGAATATTTATAATTATACTACTTATATTTTCAATAATCCACAACACAATAGAAGAAAAAACATTTTTACTAACTTTGGAAACAGAACACGAAATTATTTTGGTCACATCGAAGAAAAACTCAAATGTTTTCCAAGGACAGAAATTCTAATCGTACGAGGAGGTTCACAAACCTTTACAAATCCTTTGATAAACCTGCTTGGTTGGAAACATCACATTCATTTTCTTCAGTCCTTTTCCTTTCAGGGCCCCCTGTAAATAAACTATTAGATTTGAGTATCATATTTCAATAAATTGCTATTTTACCTGATCAACTTCTTTACTCGAAACCAGTGGAAACCATCTTTCTCTATCTCTTCTTTCTAAAAATGTTCATATTAGTTTTGCATCAAAAAACAACACTAACTTACTGCTACAGCTTCCTTTGCGGGTGATGTAATTCTTCCAACGGAAGTCCATGCCATTTTTGTAGTTTGATGTTGGGACGAAAAGCGGTTATTGCAGGGGTGAATGACATAAATCAATACGTTTAATTAGTGTGCTAGAACTGCATAAACAACTTACAAACTCTTATCGAATGTGAGCACACATTTCTTGAGCGACCACAACCGGGCATTTTCTGCGGCTGGCCGAGTATATATCAAATAATATAAAATCGTAACGACAATTCAAAAATCATGGAAAAGCGGGAAACCGCGCGGCGGTCCCGCAAAGACGTGCCTGAAAACAGCTTTAAGTCTCGACCGAGAGACTTCAAGCTGCTTTCAGGCACGTCTTCCTCTTTTTTTTTCTTTTCCATCTCTCTCTCTTTCTCTCTTTCTCTCTCCTCCTCTCTCCGTCTCGTTATTGAGATTATTGAGATTTGTCATCCGTCATTTCCGCCGAAGTCCTGATTGTACAATTTTCCACCGGTCGGCAATTGTGAAAGGACCATAAGCATTTAGAAGCAATCGAAGCAAATGATCACAAGTACTAAATCGCGATAATCCATAATTATGAGAGGCGCTCGAAGGAAGCTTACCAGTTTTTTATTGTCTATCTTACTATCACTTTCACCAGGAGCTCTTTTATCAGGAAATCAAGTTGAGTACTGGCTTGTAATCCTCATGTTAAAGCGGATAGCTCCTTCTGTTCGCGGTCTTCGCACAACATACAGGCTACTATCAAGTGACGGCAAGGATAGTGAAGGAGGGAGTAAGAAGGTTAGTTCTGAGCTATAGTTTGACTTTGACTTCACGATTAATTTTTCACCATTGCGTGAGTTTTTTGTGATGGGTTTTGAGAAACTTTTTGCTTCCTTAGGGCAACTTTTTCAATTATTTCTTCAATGTTTTAGCCTCCCTTGAGTACCAAACAAGTCCTCGGTGATGATTTGTTGGATGCAGTGAACTCTGTTGCAGAAGACTTGCACAAAGATGATCCAGCGGCAAAGAAGGAGTATGTTGCACTTGTCTCGTATAAACTTACAAATATAGAGCCTGTCATGGATTATTTGTTTACCTACAATCTCAAAACCACTCACCCTAATTTCTCTTCGTCCGAAATCTTCATAGTTTGCTCCTCGATGATGCAGATATCCTTCTTGTTTGTCGAGTTATACGTCGAAAAATTATTCTTCCTTTACTTAAAAAGTATCTCCAGCAGCATAGGTAATCCGCGAAATCCGCTAGCACTCGGTCATATGTCTTCTTGTGGTGCTTTATAACCCCACAATTCTCACCCAGTTCAAGAGGACACGCTTGTTGATATTTTTTAAAATAACTTTAACGAGCATTTATTTTCTGAAAATTAAGATTCAATATGACTGAAACAAACAAGAGCTGCTGCATTACGAGAAAAATTCTTTGAGAGAAGGATTAGTACAAACGATATGGGACTTGAGCAAAAATCCCTGTTGTGTCTCAATCTTAACCCAAAAATTGATAGAATAAACATTTGATACTCAGCTAAGTCATTCACTTTAGGACCTCCTAAATCTTTGCAAAACTTTCTTCAAACCGTAAATTACATTGTGCTTTATATAAGTATTAAGTTGTCCCACAAGTCTTTTCAATTTCGCTCTTTCATATTATAATTCTCAAGGACTCTGTCAAAAGGTCGTAAATTTGTGGCAGTATTTCTGTGAATATATAAGCCCATATTTGCGAGGAACACAGAACCAGGCAAACTCTGAAAATTCAGCGCATTATTTTTTCTTGATTCCTAGCCATCAAGAAAATGCAGAGAATGTATATATGAGTATCTATTGGGGAGAGTATATGCGTGAGCGAGTTTGGATTTCGCGGAATTGGTTTGAACTGAGACACAATTTTCTTTTTTTTAAGAATTCGGAACTTTTTTATTTTGCTTGAAACTCAATGCAGATCATGCTTGGCGGGAACTTTTTAACGCCTCTTGTAAAGCTTGCTTTGATCTGGCAAATGGTGCCCCGCATCCTATTAGCAATATAAGAAAAAAGTTGCTCGTGATGGGTTAGCAACATCTATAAAGTCTATCTACATTAACATCAATTCGCCAGCGATAGTGATTTTTGTCGAACGCGTGAAATACGACCAACCGGGCTTATATGGAACTTACGCAACCTAGAACAAATTCGCGCATACTTCTATGCATATGAAAAGTTATTATACCGGCAAACGCAAAGAGAGTGACCAATTTCGGCTGAGAACGTTACTTTCTGCTTATACATGCTATGCAGTTCCTTCAATAAACAATATTTGCTTTCAACAATGTTCTTCAAAATAGCTACAGAACGTGTTAATTTTAGAGAATTATTTCAACGGTGGTGGTGTATCCATATCGTCGGATGAAAGCACAATAAAAAAGTTGATCTCTCAAAAACGAGCTTGACATTGTCATTTGCCTACACGAAACTGGAGTTAGCTGCTATTGAATAAGGTTCATAATTTTGAAAGAAAAGCGATTTCTGGTTTGCTATCAGTATTAAGAATTCCCTCCATTTGGCATTTTACAAGTGATTCACAGGTTTGACTATTATGCTAATATTTTATCATTTGATAATATCCTCAAAAGAAGAAAACTTTCGAACTTTCGATTTCTTCCAAAATGCGTTTGCACAGTTTTCACTTTGCTGCTGATCCAATTGCAGAGTTTAAGTGAAGACTTGTCATTGAAGTAGAAGGTACTCTATCATTTTTTGAGGTAAGCACTCGAACTTATGCCCTTGATAATATCATGCTTTCGACATGGATGAATGAGTAATGGTAATGTGTGGCCGGCTGAGGAGATAAATACCACAACAAACCTTGAAAACGGGAAGCTCTGCATCAAATTCTCAGCATCAAAGTTATTGTTTCTCTCCTGAGCTTCGTGATAGTAATGTAAGCTTCAGAACATCTCATTTGATATTTATTATTAGGTTGTTCCGAAACTGTCGCTTTGATTTTGAAAATTCGTTCTGGCTCCATATGTGCACGTGTTTACTTTTGAATATCACCAGATAGAAAATTTTTCTGACATGTTTCCATAGGTTTTGTGAGCTATCCTTTCCAACAGTGCCAAGTTTGTGTTGATTGAGCCTTTCTATAAAAATTCATGACTGTTGTGAAAAATGCAGAAATTATTTTCGTCGTTTTTTGCATTTTTTATGAAAACCATAACCTTTCGTAGAAAGACTCAGTCAACACAAAGTTGGCACTGTTGGAAAGAGCAGCTTAAAAACCTGAAAGAAACATGCTCTTAAATTTTTCTGCAGTATTTCGGGTTTTTGACGATTTCTTTTCAAAAAGTGGGATGGGACTTTGAGTGGCCTCCTTTTCTAATTTTAATCTTTTGATTTACCTATTGTCAAAGAGCAGCAAAGATGCTTTTAGAAGCTAGATAAATTTTTCTGTTTGGTGGCATTTTTTATAAATAAGCACGTTCATATACCGAGCAGTTACGAATTTTTTGGAATAAGCGACAGAACTTTTGGAACAACCTAATATGATTAATGAGTATTAAGATTATTTTCAAAAGATTTACTTGAAAATGCAGTACAGCCACAGATAGAGTATAATTCAGAAGGCAATAACGGAAACTCAATGATAATTTGAATATATATTGCCCATATGGTCTTTGAAAGGTTACTGCCTTCCAAATTTGCAAAACGATTATTCCGCAGGTTTACTCCGCTTTCCCGCTATGCATCTGCGAACAGAAATGCCGCTGAACGTGAAAGTGGCCATTGATGTGGGTAATGACTGTGACCACTGTTCGGATCTTCGTTTTTGAAGAGGTCGTAATCACGACTATGACTCTACAGTTACGAAGTTCATCCGCTGCAGAATTGGAAAGCGATTTTTCATTTTTTTGGCTGCTTATGATGAGTACTATTGTATAAATGTGATTGTTTCAATAGTACCGCTGAGTAGTCGTATTACGTGCATATTTAAAGTTACACGATGCAGCTCAATATAAAATTATTGCTTTATGGTGGCTTAATAATGGTAAGGTGGTAGTCACAAGTCTGTCACAAGGCAGTAATAAGTCATGTTACCTTCAAAAAAACCCTGACGGTGAGTACTTTTTTCGAAGAAAACCAAGAAACTTTGCCGTCCTTACAATAAATGATAAAAAATGCGATCCCATGAGGTATACAAATCAAGCAGTTGAAGAAGCTCTGCGTGAGTAGTTACCTCTTTTGGCTGAACTTCGTGCAAAGTGTTTCGCAAGCGACAACTTTTGACAACAGTTATGTCTTATTATGTCAGTTTATGGGAGTAAGACCTACAAGGGTTGCAAGTTTCAGTAAAAAATTTTGAAGTTTACTTACATGGGTTATAAAAAGGGCAAGTGACTTGCTTGATTCAAATTAATCTTACCGTAAAAATTTTGAGAAGCACCCCAAAAAATTTTTCGGAGTGCGTGGCTAACGCCACGCACCTTTATTTGAAAAAAGATTTTTGCCCCCCCCCCTGGTTCGAAGTCCTGGGACCGCCACTGGTAAAGATATATAAGATATATACGTTAGGTAATACGGACTACCTGTCGAGTTTAAAGTTTGTACAAATCGTATCGTAGACAGCGAAAGTGCACACAAAGAAGCAGTTCGTCAATGAAAAGTTATTGCCACAGCAAAAATTGCAGCAAATTATTTAATATTATTTCTACCTTTTGTTTCAACAATTCGTACAACGCTGTAGCTAGAGGTCTGATTCAGCTACCAAACTAGTTACCCCGCTCGACAGTGCTTTTCTTAGTTGTTATCCGAAATGTACTTCGAAGTGCTTCTCTGTCTTTCTCTATGATTTCAAATGTAACAAGGCTTCAAAAAATGAGATTGTTTTTTGGGTTATGCAAGTCTAATACACACTGTAGTACCATTAAAAGAAACATTCTACACCATAACAAAGGGAAGGACTAGTAATCTTTATTTTGTAGAGCATCCGCTTGAAATAAGACAAACACTTCACTTTTCGATTCCCACTGAGTTTCCAAATGTCAGACGCACAGTGATTTATAATCAGCAGCGATCTATCAGTCAACATCAAGTCAGCAATATAGTCAGCCGAGTCATAGAACAAAACAAGCACACTGGGTTATCACAGGAATGAAAGGAATGTTGTTGCATATCTTTGTGCATTACCAACAGTCTAAAATTTACCCACTCAGTTAAAACTGGTGCAAAATAAATTACGCATGCGTACATTTTAGATATTACATGTCGCCATTTTGTACAAAACGATAAAAACATACTGCACTGAAAAAGTAACTGTCGAATATATGTCGCGATAATGAAGTAGTAGTTGGTGGAGCCGGAGTTGAGGAAAGAGAAGGATGTGTAGATAGTGAAATTGTAGCTGAAGGTGTTGAACTAGGATTATGCGTGGATGATTTTGCTCTGGTTGAGGGTGATATAGTAGTGGTGGGTAGTGTAAAATTATAGTTGCACAGATCTGTATTGCAGCAGCACCATTCGGCTTCATCCTCGTCCAACCAGCAATCAACCTTCTGTAAAAGCAATGGCAGAAATTTTCGTATTTCATCGCAATCCGTCTTGAAATTTAGTACCAGCAATCAATGACAAAAGAACTAACAGCTTGGTTGGCGCACGAAAATAGAAAGTGAATAAGCTTAATACTAGTGATGCTGACACTCACCTCGCAGATGCCGTCATCGAACATGTAGTATATGTAATCTTTACTTTTAGTAGTCATCCTGGAAACATTTAAATAAGCCCCGTACATAGTAATGGCGTCTTGCTACTCTCACAGTGATATTCGGCAGGTGGATGGGGGAATTGTTTTCCTCGGCATACATAGTAATGGCTTCTTCCTACTCTCACAGTGATATTCAGGCAGGTGGATGGGGGAATTGTTTTCCTCGGTATGGAATACTTCTTGCCACATTCAAATTTTACAATCGCAAAAAGAATAGGTTTACTTAATTATAAAAACCAATATAATACTAAAAGTTTTGTTTCGTCCCTTTCTTTAGACAGTCATTGCATCAGTGGCTTTACTATGTTTGAAAGCTTTTTTTGTGTAAAGATTCGAACCTAGCCGATGAACATATTGGATTGAGCAAAGACTTGAAGTATTTTCTGCAGACATGGTCACATACTCCTAAGGCAAGTTAAGATGAATCGCGAGCAGTGTTTGCAGCTAATTACTGTTATAAAGGATAAAGGATTCGGCGTCTTCAATACCCTCTGAGGGCATGCGCCGAACGCACACACTAACTTCATGGTCGAAGAGGCAATTGTGTGCGTGCGAGCCTATTACAGTGACTTGCGGGGGCCAGCCGTTTCCAAGTCAGTGCTTTTATCCTCCCAGATACTCTGGTACCAATTTATCGGCCCCAGAGGGTAGAGGGCTTGGTTGGCCCAGGGGCGGAGATCGAACCTGTGTCCGATCTGGTCATGGCGGCGCCTCATACCACTACGCCACTCGTCCCGATTACTTTTATAGCCTTAAAAAATGAAAATAGATAAATGCAATGTTGATATATTGTGTTTGTCGCTAGCCGCTCCGATCAGGATTAAAGAGCACTTTTTGGTGCAGTTAAATGAATAAATAAATAAATAAGGCAGTCAAAATCATGCTGACCTGTAGCAAAAATTTGCTGGGCTATCCCATGGGTTTATCACTGTGGAGTTGTTTTTGGTTTCACCTAAAAGACATGAAAACTAGCGAAATGGAAAAAAGAAATCTCATATGACAGCTTGAACACTGCAATTGTATTCAGTGTAGTAGAAACTCTATTGAATAAACCTCCGCAAACAAATGTTGTTTCTTAGAATATTCTGACGCGAGGAAAACATAAAAGCAATTAAACCACAATCGCACTTTCAATGTACTGAATTTACACATGACGGTGATAATTCTGTTTCAAGAGTCAACTCGGATATGCCGCAAGAATCTTCTCAATGATATTAAATTTTATTACACGGCGAGCGGCCTTTTAGAAGTAGAGGAAGCCTTGAATTTTTTGGTACTTTTTTATCACGAACATCTTCAAGGTTTTCATATTTTCACCTGAAATAGTAGTATTCATCATAATGAAACAATGCTTTGCTTTGACAAAGGCAACAAATCTCCTTCCCCTAATCGTACAGTAATGAAGGAAACTCTTTGTTGTAACGAACAATTGCTTGAGAAACAAGCAATTTGATTGAAAATGTCGTCTCCATGCTTGACAAATGAGAACACAGTAACAACTGAGTTGAAATCATTCACAGAGTGGCGAGTAACTAAGGAGAATATGGTACAGTCAAAACATTTTAAACAGAGTTAGCATATAGTGGCCTGACTAAGTGTTAGAGTGGTGGACAGCCACTTGAAGTGTATCGTTGAAGGTCTTGAAAAAGGTGACCCTGCCGAAACGTCGACCTGTTTACTGATGTCGTTGTATTGATAAACGGATAACAATCTTGGAACGCTTACTAACTCACTGAGTACTAATCTATTTTTTAGGTCGTTTCATGAGTTCGTAGAGTTTTTATTTTTTTCGCCGTTTTTCAATGAAGTGGTTGGTTTACGGTAAACTACCTGTACCATTTAAAAGAGAAAATCATATAATGATACCAGCCTTGCTTGCCACTATCCATTCCGCCTACATGGGACAATAACATTTTGCGGGATAGGGACCAAATGCGGAAAGTAGCCTAAACTTTGCTTTGAGTGGTTATAAATCAAAGGATTTAGATTCGCTCCGAAAACGAACAACGGTTCTTGTAGAGCAAGACTGGCTCTTTCGAACGGTACAGGTTTTTTGACGCAAAACAATCGCTTCGTCGAGAAATGGCTGCTAAAATAAAATTTCTACGGACTTATGGAACGACCTAACAGAATGAGCATGAGTACATTGCACGCTCTGTCTTGGCGTATTCATCCTGGATTTGGAATCGCAAAAACACAGGAGAACTACCGATTGTTATCGTTTAGTTCGGGTGGAGGGCGTTAGGCGGCAAACCCAATTTTTTGGACCCCAAAGAACTCCCCGTGCAAAACGTCCGTCTCCGGCGCCAAAATCAGGGGGGGGGGGGGTCGGGGCAGATACATTACCCGACGCCATTGAGAAATTGGTGCATAATTTTGAGTTACGGGATCTACGTTGCTTGCGTTTTGCACATTTTGTCGCCTAACGCTTGCCCTCCGTTTACTTCTAGGTACTACTTACCTCGCTTCGAGGTGAGTAGTACTTAGAAAGGAAAGAAAGCATTGAGAGCGCATTTCATTTAGACGGTTTTAATGTTCAAAAATCCAGAATAGAAACGCCAAAGATGGACAGTGTGTGCAATGACATACATGATCATATGAAGCGATTCGATTGTGCCTAAGATGATGAGGAGAAATCGTTTTCGATGATTTTAACAGCCATTCGTACGTACCAATTGTCCAGCGTATTAATTAAAGTTATAAAATAACACAGTTCAGGAAAATCATCATCTCCTATTGATATATGAGCTGACGCAGTTATCGCTTCTGTCCTGCCCCCATGTGTGCAACAGACAAAGGCTCTTACCATATATAAAGAGAATACTATCATGATTGAACACACAATTAAGAACATTTGTGGTAATAGGCTATTTCAATGTTAAGTATTTTATTTTTGAAAATTAAGCTTATCACACTCTAATATGAAAAAGAGGTCTTTGTGATTGGAGTGTCTTTCCTAATTCGAGCAAAACAACATTTTTCGGTACCCTATGGCCAATCTTCAAATGTCTGCACTACTGACCACTTTTTCCTACTTTTCCGTTCAGAGACTCTAAGAGTACACAGTCTCGGAAAAAGCGCTTTTGATCGCGTCTGAAATTGCCGCAAAATTTTTTATTGCATCGGTAAACTGCCATGACGCGGAGAGAAAAGAAACACGGCGACGCCAAAGTTTCAGGCAAGTTTCCAAGGAACTTATATAAATTGCTACTAATCATGCTTTAAAAACTTGTTATTAAATACGTAAGCGCAAGAAAAAGTGGAGAAGAACGCAAGGAAAAAGGCCTTTTTTGAAGTTTTTATGATATGAAGTTTAAACTCTCACTAGTTGAGGTTTTTAGATGATAATCCTGTAATGACGCATGTCCGCCATGATTTTATTATAGAATAGCATGTTTCTTGACTATGTTGTTTCATCTTCGAGTTTTCGTTGGAGTGTATGTAACAAATAATTGTAAATTATTACCTATATAACACCAAATTGCATGAGAGTTGCTGAAAATAGCAAAAAGAATGGTAGCGACCAGAACAGTTGCCATCTGAAGAAAGGCAGCAATAAACTGCGTTCATAAACTACGAAGACTTTTATCACAGTTTTAATTGATGCACTGATATGAGAGAACAGAAAGTGAGAAGGTTCTAAGTAGCTATTTACGTTCATTTTTATCTATTAAGTAAATCAAACTAGCAACAGTAAGCATAAACAATCGAAATTAATTTGCATTTAGAACATGTATCTACTACCCAGCTGGTGCTGTAAGATAATGACCCTTGCGCGAATGTTTTCAGTGAAGACATGCCCAGATCGCCAGCTTTCTTGCATTTGTAAAATTAGAGAAAAATGAAATTAAAATAAATGAAAGACACGAAGGATTCGAGAAGGATCGAGGACCTGATTGTATTTAGCTGATATTTGAATCCACTAATGAGGGGTTAACGGATCCTGGATTCTCCAACTAGCAGTTTATAAATCTTGGTCCGATCGGCAAAAACTAGACATACGGCTAGAGCGTATTAGACGTTAGTAAGGACTGATCCATTCGTTGATTTTACAGCAGGAAAAACTCCAATTTGAGGCAAGCAATGGAGACCAAAAACTACTTAGAACGTATTTTTACGCCAATTAAAAATAAACTCGATAATCAAACATTAAACAACTACTGGCTGCTGGTAGCAAGGTTTATTCAACACATCTTTTCACCGGATGAATCAACCCAGTATTTGGGCAACTGCTTGCTAGAGAAATGATTGCAAAAATCCGAGTTCATGGTCTATCAAGACACTGAAACTGATTATCACTGATACAAACTTCAAAAAGCAGCGAAGTTTGAAATTTTCAAAATTCTGAGAAATTACGTCATTTACTTAAAAATGAAGGCAATTCACTTACGCATTATTAAGACTTATGTAAGCTACTCGGAAAATTTTGGGAAGTCATTCTCCCAGAGTTTATATGACTTATGTGAAAAAATTATCAAAAGACATCCTCACTAACTGTTTCGTCCGATCGGCAAGATTATTTGGACTAAAATCTTGAAAGCTCAATATTTCTAGATTACCTTAATTTCACCTTGACTTGAGGACCACTGATAGAAACTAGGCCACTCCGTGAGGTTGCATCGCTTTATTTAGAAGAACGTGTATTTTAGTAATGCATGAATTTCGTAGTCGCATATATAACTCAACTCAAAAGAGAAGGTCACAAAGTCAAAGTGAAGGCGATGCGCTAAGTAATAGAGCTTCAAACGGTAGTTTTAAATATTCTTTCTCTATTTGCTCCTCCATCAAGCTCTTTTCTAAAATTCTGTGAATAAATTCTGCAAGTTATGAGCGTTTTAGTAATTTCAATGGAGGAGTGGCCCCGAAAAAAAAAATGAAGTCCTTTGTGCAGCGATATGGTTGAAAAACACTCAAAAAACGTTCAGATAAAATGAAGATAGGAAGTACTATGCTTTTCAGTTAGCTTGATTAAGCCTGATTTCCTTTTGTAAAAATTATCGTCATTTGCAACGAGAAATGCACGCAAAATTGGCATAAGAAAAGCGCGTAGCCTTCTAAGAGGATGCTTTGTAGATATAGAAAGTATATCCCAAGAGTTAAAGTTCTTTTCGTTGGCATACATCACTTTCTTAGTCGCCACTTCAATTAAGTGACATTCCCTTCCCTTGTTAGTCTCTCAGGACACTTCCAGGGTTTTGACCTAATTTTGAATAAATCAAAGGATTACGGTATGAGATGTGATCAAACACATTTGTGTACGATGTCTCAGTAAACAAGGCTTCATTCATAAGCGGCGTTGATGCGCAGGTATTTTGAGAAGCACTCCAAGAGTCCAGCTTCATTTTTTAATTTGTTTAGCGCCAAAGTTGTTTTTGAAAGCAAAGCTTGAGCCTAGAAAGCGCATTCAAGATTCGAGAGTCACCAGGGAGATTGATTTTGGAATATTCAAAAGCCAGAAACTCTCAATGACATCTGCTGAAACGACACAAGTAAGGTAATTCAGGTCTTGCGTCATCCAAATACTATTAGGTTGTCCCGAAAGTTTTGTCCGTTTTTTCAATCTATCATAGAAACGCGTGGAACAAAGATAGGGAAACGCTCTAAGCACTGTCCGACGCATTTTTTCCTTCTCTTTCTAATTGTCATGCAAACGCCTAATTTTCGAACCCATGGTTTTTACTATGTCCAAGTTTGGCAATTTTTCACAACCTTTATTTTTGACTTTTGGAAGACCTTTGATAGCCCTCAGGTAGAGTAAGCAAAGGGCAATGCATCGCAATCATTTGGCATATCTAGCTGCCTTTTCAATATTGTTAAAGATAATTTTTAAAAAGTCTTCACTTTTGCGAAGTTCTAAAATACAGAAACGCCTCGAACACTAACAAATCATCGGATTTTGAAGCTTTCAAAACCCGATTACGATTATTCACTATTTTTACGGACCAGATGAGCGTTTACCGCTTCGAAATATCAGATTCTGCATTTTACGTGTACACGCTGGGGTGGGGTCAAATTCAATAATGATGAAAATTTTATCGCCAAGGACCCAGCAAATTGGAGAGGAAACACACTCACTAGGAAGAGGAGGAAAAGCTGCATCGAACAACACCTTAGTTGCGCGCCGTTTCATGATGTCTGGCTTTTGGCATCACCAAAAGTGGAATTTGATAGCATTAGAAAAATAATTCTAAAAAATTTTCAAGGCTGGCTATATGTATTATGCCGCAAAATTGCCCTTTGCTTACTCTATCTGAGGGCTATCAAAGATCTTCCAAAAGTAGAAAATGAAGATTGTGAAAAATTGTCAAACTTGAACATAGTAAAAACCATGGGATCGAAATTTCGGTGTTTATCTCAGTGAACAAAAGATTGATCGGCATGGAAGCACGATAGTTAGAAAGAGAAGGAAAAGATGCGTCGGATAGTGCTGCTTAGAGCGTTTCCCTATATTCGCTCCATGCGTTTTATGATAGGTTGAAAAAACGGACAAAACTTTCGGGACAATCTAATATAATAACCTATGAATGTACTGTGCGTGTTCAAAAGCTTGGGTTCGAAATTTCAATTAAGTAAGATGTTTATTTTTTTTCACAGACAGATAAGCATACATTATGGATAAGAGTAAACTTCAGTGTTTCTTTACTCTCTTCGAAAGCATTTTTCTGTGCGCTTCAGCATTTTTCAATCCAGGATCTTTTAATTACCTGAGGATTTTCAAAGTGTTACTTGTACATTTCATTACTTCTTGTCAAATGAATATAAGAGATGTTTCCAAAGCTTAATTTAGAACACAGTGAACCGCCGCAAATTTCTAAAATGATTGTTAGAATAAGTACGTTGCTTACAGGTATTTTTCCAAGAATTACATACCTTTTAGAGAGAAGAACAATCATTTTCTGAGAGAACACCGTTTTGGAAAATTGCTTTGTACGAAGCCCTGTACAGACCTTATAAACGAAAAGCAAACTACGCTGTTATCTCAGAAGGATGGAATCCTAGACCCTTGAAAACTCGGTTACGAGTTGACGAAATAACTTTCCTTCAAAGCTTCTAGCTTTATTTGCTATTTGTTTCTGCTTGCTCTAGTCTCTAACAGGGGAAGGATACTTGGATGCCGTAGCCACTCATAATGATTTGTATACCAAAAAAAGCGCTTTTGAATGCTGGTTCGTAGACTGTCTTTCATATCTGCGAAACGATAATCTGAATGGAGTTATGATTTTTTTTCATTAAAAAAATTGCGTTCCTGCGGAGGGTCAAAATCATCAATAAAAAAATTTTCTCTCCTTTCCAAACGCTGAGTATGATCCAGATAGTCTAAATAAATATTACTACGTCTAAAATTTTCTTCAGTAGCATCAAACGGTAGGCTAGATCAAATCTGGTGATTTTTACTATCCAAAAGTGGGCTAAATTTTCAAGGAAAAAAGTTCATAACTTTCTTCAAAAGATCGTTTCGCAGTTTCTAGCACAGATTCAGAATTTGCATTCGAAGGCGCATTTTTTGGTATACAATTCATTAGGAATGGCCGCGGCATCCAACTATCCTTCCCTTGTAAGAAGGCCAATATTCATACAATTATGGAAAATGTTATACGTATACCTAAATTAAACCTCCTAAACATCTTCCATAAGATTTTTACTGACCTAATTTCCTACAGCAGGCTTTGTTCTATTGCGTATCTCACAATTTTTTACTGTTTTTACCCTAGACTTCAGCATCAGCATTTATACTGGGGCACATAAGGTTAAAATACACGATCCCACTTCTGTTTGTATGAGCTATACGTGCATGTGATGGGAGGAGCAGGACTTCTAGGAGTTAGCCATTTCATTTATGCCTTTCTTTCTTTATTTCTAGCCATGGAAAAAATAAAAAAGTCGTTCGATGTGCTAAGCATATGCTAGGGTACATGGGGAATGTTTAAGATTTTTTTGGTGCTGAGATACGATTTTTAAAGGTAAACTTCGTTTTTGACTGCTATCATTTCTATTTATTTTATCTCAAAGCTTTACGTGGAATACGAATTGAGCAGACTAGTAATAGCCATCTTGTAGAACTTGCTTTGCTTTGTCGGATGATCTTAAGCCACACTAATTGATGGAAAGATATGTACAAAAGACAACGTTGTAAAAAAGCGGTAAAAAATTATGAGAGACCCTAATATTTCATTAAGCATAGGACAAAAGCTTGATAGATTCCGAGCTGATTAATCCAGTCCGAAATTGATTTATTTCTCAATTCACATAGATTTACAAGAGGATGTGAACAAAAAATTATCGTACGGATCCAAGGACATAATCCTCTACATAAAGAAATGATATGACATTAGCGTAAACTAATCGCAAAGAATCATCCATCGGAGATCGAAATTAACTTGATTATCAATGTCTTGCAAATTGGTGAGTGGGCCAATGTGGATAGATAAATGTAAAGACTGAAAGTGAATTTTAACAACAGAATTCGAGCGAGTTATTCTTGGTCGGAACAGTTATAAAATAATTTTATTTCTATTCACAACGCCTATCATCGAAAAGGATAAATCTATGTAGTAAACTGAAGGACAATATGCGCTAGAAAAATAAACTCGAACGTTCTAAATTGAACTCTTTCTTAATAAGCGATATACGTTGAACCTTTCTACTAGCGTTCTAGCCAATGTGTTCAATGAATCAATAAATTCACCAGCTTGTTGCAAAAAAAAACAGGTACTTACTCTTTTGTTTCACTTTCTGTTGGAGGATAGCTCACATTACAGATGTTGCCCTTTTTAGGCCCCATTCTTTTGCTATCCTTTTACTGACAAACAAGACACCTATAGTACCTGAATACTAAATGCCCAAAAGCAGTGCTAGGGGCAGAGAATGTTTGCAGTAATTATGGAATTTGATATGACAGTGTGTTCTGCTAGTCAAAGTACTTCACTTTGCTGTTTGAGTAATCTGAGAGTCCTAATCTTATCACTGACTAAAGTAGATTCTCTGATCAAAGTCTTTGACATATGTTGTGCAAGCCTTCATTTTTTGCTTCAGACCCGATCAAATTTTCTCGATTCTCGTAAAATGATTTTTCAAAGAGCTTGTGCAGATCTGTAATAAATACGCACATCATGCCGCAATGAAGTGAGCAATCAAAGAGAAAAAAGTCACAGAAGTTGCAATAGACAAGACACTCCAACTAGTGAACATAATCTACTGCTCTATAAACTAGCTTATTCCATCAGACTTTTCATTGACTTATCGCCTACAGTTCTTCTTATATTCTTGACTAGATACGCTGTACCATTCGATGGATTGAAGCGATCTCCACAAAATGGTGTGAATAAGTTCGCACGCAAAATCAATGTATTTGCATTGGCTTAAAATCCAGAAAAAAAATGAGCAAAAATTAGCAAATCTGCCTTTAACGGTCTTTGGTTCCTCCGATATGTTTTTTGTATAGCTTATTCACTCAGAAATGTTGCCATAGATTTGCACCTCGTAGGCGTGCTAATTCTTGAGAAACATCATTAATTTGAAAGTTTGAATACGAATTGGATTTAAATTGACTTATTGGACAGCCCAATAATTCTCATCATTATTACGAATAGCCACACTTGAGCTTGCTAAAACTTGACGAGTTACTCAGGAGGAGCATCATTTTCAGCAACCTTATTCCTTCTTTCTGATCGCGCACATGTACAGCTGTAGTAAATTTAGAAGGCAGAATCATGCAAAGTGTCGTAAATTCTCCATTAAATAAACAGTCAATTACTTGACGGCAACTTTGGAATGTGAAAGTGGTAATTTGCAATTTTATTGACTTCGGGGAGACCAGGTTTTGGATCAACCTTGCAAATTTATGTAGAATCTGCAACTACAGATTTTTATATAAATTATGAAATGAGCTTTGAACTGTACAGGATTGCCACAAAAACGTCGTAATCAAAAACGATTTATCCATCGGTCAGCGATATCTTCGCGTTCCTGTAACGGAATTTCTTTACCTTGCGGTGGAAAATTGAAGTCTTGAGTGAAATGAGCAAAATGCCAATCCATGATGTGAAGTCAATTCAATAGCTTAAACTTCGAATTTTGTGATTGTCGCTGGTAATAATTCTGATGTTTGAAATAAATGATACGAATAATGAGTGAATGAAATGATTTACTAACAAAAAGCAAAAACGACTCTTTTCGCCTTGACAAAAATTTGCACCGGCGTCGCCTGGATTAAAAAAGAAATCGGCAACTTGGCCCACAGATATGGCAAATTCGTATTTAGTCGCTATGAAGGAATACTGCTTTGCAAACGTTTAATGGATTCTTTCCTTGATGTCGCGCTTCCAATTTTCGGGAAAAAAACAATGCCAATACGATTTGTTCTGTGCCAAAAAAAACTGGGATGTTTTGTAGAAATCCCATTTACTGCGACCTGTATTATTCAAACTGAATATTCAGATACGTGCGTGGTACCATAAAATCTCGGCCCTTGTTAATAATGAGTATACTTGTGTTTAAATGAACGTGTCGCGGCTCCGCGATGCAGAGCGCTCCTCGGAACAGGAGGCCGGGGGCGCTGTTTGCCGCATTTGCCTGTCGCGCCTTTTGTAGGCTGCTGCAGGACCACCTCCAGCTTGGAAGGTAGCCAAGCGGCGGGGTATATAAGGCTGCCGAGAGAGCAGCCGCCGCCTCTTCCTCTTCGACTCTTGTGTGATTATCGATTATCTTATTATACTCGGCTACGTTTCAAGCAGCTCCCGCATTCGAGGACTTTTGGTTGAGCGGTTGAGCCTTTCTTTTATGTCTTGTGTACTGGTCGCGCGTAAGCGCAAGGAAAGTTGAAAGTTGTAGATGAACATCATGCGGGAGTGGAGCTTGGTGAGGCGCCGTTCCATTGGACTGGGCCTCCTTGCGGTCGACTCTGAGGAGAACCCCAGAACTTCATAGTTAGAGTGATTTCTCTCATTCATCGGTATTCTGGGACACGCGGCTCGTCCCGTATCTTGTTCTCATTTATTCTCGTAGTTTAGGAATCCGTAGTTTAGTAGTATTCTTTGTTATTTGTCTGTTTTATCGTTGTTTAGTATATAAACTCACTTAATCTAGTCGTGTTCAGTACGGGTGCATTATCTTGGTGACAGCGTCGAGTGGACGCGCCTTAGGGGCCCCATAAATGTCGGACGCGTGACGTTCTAGGGCTAGGGATTGGTTGTGTATGGCGGTCGGCCTGCTGCGACTAGGGGTGCTGAGCACTCAGAGCCGCAACAGAACGCATCGAACCTAAAACATTATGCAGTAGGGTTGTACATACATTATTAGTAAAATGCCTTTGCTTTGCAGTCCTAATTTTTGAAGTGCTATTTTAGTGCACTCTATACTCCGGTGATTTTGTAATGAATTTGCACATATCGTAAGGATCCATCCGTTTTAGTAATCATATTTCAGACGGAATCCCCATAAAGTTATTCTAGCCACACTACCGTAACTTCTACGTGCAACATTCTACCTGGCAAGACTATTACTATGTTTACATGTCTTATCGCAGCTCAATACGAAATTATTGCTTCATGATTGCTTATCATATGGTGAGAATAAACAAGAAGATGATATGTCACGTTATCTCTAAAAACTCGACGGTAAATAATTTTTTGAAGAGAATATAAAAAATTCTGTCATCTTTATTTATTGAATGATCCGTGACTAGTTGAATTGAATTATTCATGCATGAATAATAGTGACCTCCGTTGGCTTCGTAACCTCACTTGTAGTGTTTCGCAAGCGAATTCAACTTTGTTATGTCTTATGATGTCAGCTTATAAAAATCGGAGCAAACCTTACAAGGGCTGCAGGTTTCAAAAAAGATGCATAATGTGTCGTTAAATCATACGAACTTCCTCAGATCGAGTTCAATATTCGTACACAACGTATCGTAAGCTTTGAATATGCACACAAAAACAACTTCAATAAAAGGTTATTAACGCAGCAAAAATCATAGCAATTCCCGCAATATCTTTTCTTTATCTCAAAAATTCGTGCAGTATAGCTAGAGGTTTGATTCAGCTACCATAGATAGGAACCGCTCAGACTTCATTTTATTTCATATTCACAATTAGCTTTTCTATCTCACTCTCTGTGCTTTCAAATGTTACAACAAGGATTTAGAGAATGTGGTATTTTTCGACTTTACGTATAGTCGAAGACTACTGTCGTATCATTTACACAAAGCATTCTGCATGATGCTAACGAAGGGAAAGCATAGCAATCTTTATCGAAGGGCATCTGCTTGACATAAAGAAACAAACCATTACTTTCTCAAATTTTAATGAAATTTCGAATACAGTGACTTATAATAAACAACGATTCTTAGTTGGACTCATCTTGAACAAAGTAAACACACAGAGGGTTATCACTGGATTGGAGAAGATTTCACATACCTTTGTACCTTTTCAACAAAACCTCTAAAATTTACCGGCTTAAGAAAACCGGGCTTAAAGTAATTTACTCATGCGTGCATTCTAGATGGTGCATGCTGCTATGTTGTACAAAATGATAAGAACACTCTGTATAATGAAAAAGTAAAAGTCGAATACAGATTGCGATGCTGAAAGAGTGGTTGATGAAGCCGGGGGAGAGGAAGGATGTGTAGATAGGGCTGGTGTAGGTGCTTTAGAGCTGCGAGACGACACGTCAGTAAATAAAGTCGAAGGCTTATGAGTGGAGATAGTAGTAGTGATCATTGTGAAGTTATAATTGCAGAAATCTATATTGCAGCAGCAATATTCATCACCATCCTTGTCCAAATAGCACCCAACTTCCTGTAAAGGCAGTTGCAAAAACTTTCAATATTTTATCTCAAACACATGGAATTGTGCTACTCTCGTAAGGGAAAAGCTGACACATCCTCTTTTTTGTTGGCAAAGGTCAAAGCTGTGCTTGACTAGCTAAGACGAAGTGAAAAGATGGAATTTAGTACAAGCACGGCTCTGCATGCGTTGGGTTCGAGCTTGTTTAGAAATGAAAGTTCCCATAACCTTGCACAACTATTCCAGGAATTACTTTGTAGTATTCTGATTCAGCACTTTGTTCAGCGACAGAAAAAACATCAATATGTACAAAATTAATGAAAAAAAAACAAGTAAAAAACTCAAAGAAAGCATTGTTCAAATTCAATAATAAAATAAAAATTTGTAGCAATAACCACCCTCTTGAACTTATGGAACGCATCTACCCACAATGGTAACAAGCATGAAGGGAGGCGACTTGAAGCCTTCTTCCACCACTAACATGTCTGATTTTTTGCTCAGTCGTAAATTAAAAATATAGTATTGTTCAAATTCTCACTATTAGATTGTCCGATAAGTTGTTCTTCATATCGAGGAACGTTGGTTCTTCTGTTCGAATTTTGTTCAAATTGGAACTTAAGCAACTAATCGATAGAGCAATGCAATTTTCTACGATGACGTCCCGGTCCCAGAAAGTTTGATACATGTGATGTTTGAAGCCAAAATTAGAAAATTATCAAGTGCGAAAAATCGGCTCCCAACTTAATAAGAACTTATAAAGCTTCAACTGGCTCAGGTTCATAATTCCACATCAGATAATCACGCTAAGGTACATCGAATTTTTCATGGCTGAAAATCGAAAAAACAACATGAGATGATTACGAAACATCCAAAGAATATTGCTTTTTCCAAGTTTTTGAAATTTGTTATTTTTCAAGGGGTAAATTGTGTTTAAGTTTTCTGAATGAAATGATAGATTTCGGAGCGCTCAAATAGTTCAAGATGAAGAAATCCAAAAATTTACGTAAACACCTAATAAATACACGCTCCGAAGATGGTCTAGAGATCACCAAATCTTATAACAAGTATTATCTTATATATAAAGCTGAATGTCTGTTTGTCTGTCTGTCTGTGTGTACGTATGTTCCGAATAGAAAATACCATTTCTGAACCGATCCGGACCAAACTTGGCACACATACACTTCGGGCCCCGGCGGGTGCCATAGGCTACTTTTCGTCATCGATCGATATCGATTTTATCGATTTTTTGCAAAATTTGAGCTACGGGGCTGGGAGTTGGCACAGGGGAGTAATCGAGCATGCTGATTACGAATATAATAATGACAGGGCCGGGCGGAGCCGGGTAAGTCAACTAGTGACACAATTTTAAAACTTCTCATGTAGTATAGTTGGAAGGATTTACATATAATTCAAATTTTGTGTCCAATGATCAAGTGTGCGCAGTAAAAATATCATTCGTTTTTGTTCATTATCTTGAAGTTGGAGCACTTGTGAAAGAAAGCAAGTTAAGGGAAGCCAGTAATACTTGATAGTGGCGAAGGTGAGCGCGTTTGGAAGTTAAGTGCTTGTATGTCTCACATGTTTTATGAGCCATTTGATATCTGTTCCATAAGTGAAGTAGTCTAGTTCAACCTCAGTACATCTGTGCTATGTCCTGAGTACGAATAACGTTAGCGACTACTTACCTCGCAGAATCCTTCATCGAACCTGTAGTATATGTAATCCTTATCTTTGGTGGTTATCCTGCAAACAATGAAATGAGCACGTGGGCACAACATTCTACTTATACTAAATTTATATTAAGGCGGGTGGAATGGAAAGATCCTTTTATGCTTTGGTGTGAACGACTTTTGTTGGATTTATGCCGTACACATGCCTGATGATCGTGAAATCTCGAGACTGCAGCACTTAGAAAGCCTCCATCTTAGGTCAGCTGAGAAGGCTAATGATACGGCGCTTCAGCGCATTGCTAAGGAAGCGATTGATCAAAAAATTGGCACTTTTCCGTTATCCGAACCCATTTTTCTATAAGGCTCCCATAACATATCGTCCCCTCCACAGTTGCTGCTATCCTGGGTCTGCCTCTCGCACCTGCCACGTGTGGCGAACATGTTGGCAACGTGGCAACAACATGTTTGCAACATGCCACAACACGTTGGCAGAACATTTTGACCACGCCAACATGTTGCTGCATGTTGCAAACATGTTGTTGCCACGTCGCCAATATGTTAACCACACGTGGCAGGTGTGAGACGCCGACCAAGGAAGCAGCAACTGTAGAGGGAACGCTTCTCTTTAGTCTAAGAATGATTTTTGTAGATTCTACGAAGACTGCCACTCCGCCACGTGTCAGGAAAAACTTGACAAGTTTTAGTCCATTTTGACTTGTTTTTTTTTCGAAATCATGTCCAGTGAGGTAAAAAGGCGTTTGTGACCACCTAAAACCTTTGAACTATTTTCTATAAAAGCAAAACTGTCTAGAACTTTTCGCAGAACATCTTGATTGCTTCCAGCAACATTTAAATTTGTCTTCCCATTCAAACTGTCCGTCATGCGAATTTAGTCAGGAAAGACTATAAATGATGGCTTGCAATATTTCGCTGCTGCTTGTTTCGCCACTTAATGGAACCCTAGCACACTTCTCCACCCTGGGCAAATCTAATCTCTTCAATGATGAAAAGATGACGTTATTATTATAACAGTTTCACTTCTGAAACCCTTTATTTGAATGGGATCATTATTGACTTCAATACAAATTAATTTATGTCGCTAGATAGTGCAAAACAAAAACTTGTTAAAACCTGTTAATCAGTAGATGACATGTCAAATTTTTCTGACACGTGGCAGAAGGTTGACACTTCTTTCTGTGAATTTGGGGCCAAATATGGTACAAAAAAAGCAACATACTTCTTTGAAAATGGGTCCGGAAATAACGGAAAAGTGCCAAAAACTCATATCCAAGATCATATCCTACCATCCAATCATGGTACAAAACTTCAATAGCCGTTACGAAAGAACAGCATTGAGCACAATGGTGGAGTGGCGGAAGTCTGCCTGATGTTAGGACTGCTGAAGGTTTAGGTAGCCGTGCATCATGACCGGCAGAAATGCCGACCACTTGGGCACGACTGCGATGTCGACTTACAGTGTGACGCCAAATTTTCTTGCGCACTATTGCTTATTGCCTTCAATTCCTTTTCCAACCATTTCATTCTCTTTTTACACAATGCTTTATGGTCGCTTTTGATTATGCATAGGTATCATATGAGTAAGCTTTTGATTGTGCATACTTGTGCCATTAAATCATGCACGCTTACGTTGCTGTGAAACCCCATTGCAGAAAACCGGCTACTAATCCAATTAATAGAGCGCAGTGGCGGAGCCCCTCCCCCTCCCCCCGAGAATGGGTCGCGAAAATTTTTGAAACTTACCTGTATGGGTTATAAAAATGTGCAAACGACTGTTTATTTTTGTAAATAATTGAAATAATTTCTAAAATTTTTCAAAAATTCAAATTAGCCTTTAAAAAAATCTTTTCGGGTAAAGCGGTAAGGAAGTTGGCGGTGGGGTCGTGCATATCAGGTTGCAAAAGGTTCAACTCTAAACTTTACTGCAAGCGCGCGCTTTACAAAAATGCGAACAATCTCATTGCGATCATTGATCATGGACACGGATGCCACCCTCTTTTTTATGCCCGTCAGCAGCGCAAAATAAATGTCCGTTACAACCGCATGCATCCTTCTGTGCGCAGTAAATCGACTACATCTCATACTAGAAGAGGAGAAAATACCCGTGGGGATGCTCGAACCGCTGCTGCCGGATGCAGGGCATGTGTTTTGGGAGATTAATAGAGGAAACTAGGTCTGGATAATTCTATAAAGGTCCATTAAAATTGCTCAGTGTTAGACTCAGGTTTGATGGATGTCTGATCTGGATCCACCTGCCTATCAACTCCTACAACCACTATTACTGCCAAAAGCCATGTTGCGTGCCAAGACCCGAGGCGCAACAGAGATACACTTTGGTAATGAACGTTTTTCGAGTTGGAATTTACGCCAAATTAGTTGCTATTGTTACTGAATAGGTGTAGCTAGAAAATAAGGAATACAAAGAAAAGCGAAGAACTAAAACCGACATCGTTCTTCTATCGGGTGAAAAGAAATTTGAGCACTCCTCTATCTGGACCCATCTCCCAAGAGTTTTCAAAAAGTGTTTTGGTTTGAAAAGAAGTCTTCGAAAACACTGTGAAGGATCTCTATCAGTAACGTCTCACAAGAAGAGGAAGGTTGGTTGAAGTGACCTTCTAAAATGTGAGGTACACTACCTTGTAGAGCTTGGAACGGTAATTCCAAATCTGCCTTTGCTATATGGTGCGGGCTTCTGGGCGAGGAGTGAAGGTTTTTGTAAGTAAAAGGTTTAACGCAAGATTAGTATAGAATCAGTTGTAATTATCGCACCTCATCAGAAGGCCACATTCGACCTACCCCCTTTCCCTTGTCAGAAGAAAAATCAACGTGTTTTAGTTTTTGACAAGTTTCTTCCAAAAACATTTCCGGTAAGATGTCAGGGCATTCAACTGAAAAGTTGTTTTCCATAGCAGCCAGGCATTCCAAAACCTTTATCAAAGCATTTTTTTGCTCTGAGGATTTTCAAAAACATCTCCCTTTCCAAACTGTTTCCATCTACGCGATACAGCTAGGAAAGTAATTAAATGATATTGTGAAGTAGTGTAAGTAAGTAGTCTAATTCAGAATTTGCACCTTTTTCACTGTTATAAGAATCCAAATAAACAAAGTTTTACAATTGGGGCAGTCGAAAATTTACTAGCCTGTAGCAGAAACGCCCTTGGCTGTCTTCATGTTCCCACACTTCTGTAACGTTATTCTTCGTTTCACCTAAACAAATATAATATAGGCAAAATAGAACGCGACAAATTTCATGTGACATGGAAGATCGCACTTGTATATAGCGCAAAAAATAAACTCTATAAAGTGAACAGGTACTTTTCCGTTATTCGGCCCCAATTTTTCAGAAGGATCTTGTAAAATAAGTTCTGTAATCTTAGAACAATTTTTCAGAGATTCTACGAAGACTGAAGTGTCAGGGAAAAATGACACATTATAGTCCATTTTGACATGTTTTTTGAAATCATTTCCGGTTAGGAAAAAGAGGTTTTTTCTGATCACGTAGATGCTGCTCAGTTGATTTCCATTAGAGCAAAACAATCTAGAACTATTATTAACTATCTTAATTGCTTCAAGCAATAACTCAAGAATGTATTTCTCTTCAAACCTTCCACCGTGCGCGTTTAATTAAGAAAATCTATAAATGATGGCTTGAAGTAGTACCTCGCTGCTATTGTTGCGCCACTTAGATGAAGAAATCCCAGCGTACTTTTCTATTCTGGCATGTCTAGTTTGTTCATTGGTAACAGGGGGACGTTATTAATATGACAATGTTCATTTTCAAAATTGTTCATTTGGAAATGGGGTATTATTGATTAAAAAACAAGTTGAACTGTGTCGTTAGGTAGGGCAACACAAACTCCTTGGTAAAACTTGTTAAACATGTAGATGGCATGTCAAATTTTTTTGACACGTGGTAAAGTTGACACTCCTTTCTATGAAGTTGAGACCAAATATGGTGCAAGGAAAGAAGCATTATTCTTCTTTGAAAAAATGGGTCCGGACAACGGAAAAGTACCAATAAACCTTTGCAAATATAAATTTCATCTTTCAACAAGTGAACGTCCTGGTGACCGTGACTTTCGAAAATGTTGCACACAGGAATGCTCGGCTGTGAAACGCTATCCTCGAAACTACGTTCGTTACTTGTAGCGCTTTTGTGAGAAGAATAGCGCTTGTGAAAGCGAGCGAAAAATAGTTGCACCCACAGAGATCAAACTGACATCCATCGTGCAAAATTGATGGAGCTGACCGAGACCATTTGACACCACTCGCATTCTTAGGCAAACTCGTTATCGGTTGTTCACACGATTGTAGCGGGCATAGGCGTTGCACCTCTAAAGTGGCGCGGTTTTGGTAGCGAGAGATCACTCCTATCAATGTGAGCGGATGGAGAAAAATCAGCTGACTTTTATCGACTTTGACCAGCTCGCATCCTAGCCCGCAAGTCGTGCCCGCTACAATTGAGTGAAGGGACAATAGATACGAGGACGCCATTTTTTTCAAGAAGTTTAGCAAATAACGAACATAGTTTGTTCAGTGTTTCAAAGCATTACATATCAAAAGGCCACGGTCACCAAGTATTTTTTTTTCGCAAATTCTTTGAGACTGCAAAGAAAGTACCGCTCCATTTTTCTTCAAGCTAAGTAAAGGCAGTATATTAGGTTGTCGAATAATTTCTGTTACACTTTTTTTCTAAAATTTCTAGAAAATTCCAGAAGCTTTCTGAAAACCCCAAATCTGCAACACGCTTAGGACATAGCAGGGTCTACCCACCAGCATAATTGATGCCGCAAGCGCACTAATGACCAACAAGTCTACGGCAGTTTTGTAAAGGCAGTCAAATTTAGAATGTATTTTGGCATTGGCTCTTACATGGGGGCATTCCGGTGCTTTTAGCGTTTCAAAAACGAGGGGTGAAAAAAATATCAAAAAAATACAAAAACTTTCCTAAATTCTTCTTTTCATGTGCATCGGAAATGAATACAGAAAACATAAAAATGACTTTTTGAAATTTTTTGAAGATGTTTTCTTCGTAAAAATTCCGATGATTGCAAAGATGGCGAACATTGATATTTGAACCGCTCAGAAAAACGTGTGCAGACATGTCTGCGTTATCCCCCCTTATAAGCTAAACGCTACAAACTATGCCCTACCTGATTACCACATTGTCCGGTCTATCGCTCATCACATGAGAGAACGCCAGCTCACTTACAAAAATGGAAAGAAACGGAATTTCCGACAAAGTGAGTGTTTTGCGCATGGATCGCGGAAGCGACGGTAGCGTTGTATAGGCCTTTTGACCCTGCCCATACACCGTGAACATGAGATGTTTCCAAAGCTTCTGAGATTTTTAAGAATTAAAATAAAAAATGTAACAGAAATTATCCGACAACCTAATATAATACAAAATTTATTCAAGCACGAAAGGAACTTGCTGGTCTACCGCACTATCGTACTACTAATATGTAGCCTTCTTTGTTTCCAATACTTCAAGCCCAACAATTGTAGTTATCTGTCTTTATTCGCATGTCTGTGATGTACAGAACTGATCTACAATTAGAGGTCATTTGCGAACTTTTTAGTTTTTCTCTAATCTCACAGTACGCGACGCACCTCTTTCATTTTTTCAAGCAGGCAGCTTGGCAGCACCGCGGCACCTCGCAAAATGGAGCTCCCACAAACTTCTTTTAGGTAAGGAGCAGAACGTAAAAGGTCCTTTGGTTCAGTAATTGATTAATGTGCTCAGGCTGATGAAGTCTTGAGAAAAAAACAGGTGGACACTCTTGTACTCGTGAGATTAGGATAGTAAATATTCCCTGAGCCGCGGTTTCTTTGGAGGCTTTACGCAGCATTGATAGCATACACAGGTTCTGCTAATGCGTAAACTCAAAATATCTGAGTGAATCTACAACTATTTTTTCATTATTCCTTCCTGAAGTACTATTTTCATCAAAACCATTGAGGAGCTCGGTTTGCGGAGTGAAGTAGTGAAATAGTAGTAGTCTGAGTGATACATTCCTATGAAATCAAAAGAGGCGAGCATGGGGAAATCACTGTTGATAAGCAGTATCCAATCTTACAAGCCTTCAATTAGCGTGTATGCTATACTTGCCGTCAGGTAGCGTGTTACTATACATTAACTCTCTTCTCACTAAGTAACAAGCTACGCGAGGATAGATCTATATAAATATATCAGTGTATTTGAGGTATTTCAACATCACTGTAAACAAGTTTTGGACCATGCTAGGCTTCTTTCATTTTTACAATGCAACAATCTCTTACTTTACAACATAAAGTTTTCTGATCAGTAAAAGCAATCCCCAACTTACAATTGTTGAAAAACTGACTAACAGTACAAAATTGCGATTTATGTTCATAACAACCCCGAAAATTGTCAACGCTAAATACTCTCTTTTCACGAAGTCAGCTTAGCAGGAAATGGTAAACTTGACCCAGCCAATTCCCAACAATTTAGATGTCATCAAACTTGCCTCGAAACGCTGATTTCATATATTTGTTTATTCTCGATCAAAGCGACTATCTGTAGGGAGTTACGAGCGTTAATTATGTCAAATTATCCGAGTTCCAACGGATATAATTCGTTGCAAGGCAGTCTGAAAGCGTAGAATTACATTGATTATGAATATTCTAATTACAAGGAAGAAGCGCGCTTACCAAAGCCTAGATGCTTTCTTCTCGTAGATTTGCTACAGAATACTTAGCAAATCGCACATTTAAACGTTTATGTCATTTAAACGTCATTTAAACGTCATTTAAACGCGCTTATGTTTTTCCAAATAGTCGTTCGGCAGATACCAAAAAATATTTTAGATTAGCGTTTCAAGGCAAGCCCGTTGATATATAAATAGCTTGTCTGGAATGGCTGGGTTAAGTCTGACCATTTCCTGCTTAGAATTCAAGTGTGGTGCAAATCACCCATTGGACTTTATTATTGTAGATCAGGGAAGAAACTTTCAGCATACATCGCCATTATGAAACAGGCCGTTTGGGAAAAAGTACCAAAAACAACCTGTAAAGTTGTGTTGCAATGTTTCCAGACATGCTGATTTCATTGAAACGAGTTTTCAAGCGTTCTGAATGATTTCTATCACATTTTTGAAAAACTCTGAAAAGAAAAGCTATTTTATATACGTGGCATAACTTATGAGAAAAGCTTTTTTGGTAAAGCGCGAATTTTATAATCTTAGAGAGCAACTTTGTTTTGCCTAATGAAAAAGCTTTCAACTTGTTGGGTGTTCACTCTGCGGCTAAACGTAGCCAATTGATGGCTTAAAACCCTTTTTAAAGCTCCTATAATAATTTTAAGCAACGAAGGGAGTTATGTGACTCAATCATACGGACTTGAGTTGAAGCCTGCTCTACTGAATGGTGCTTGAAAATGCTAAGCAAAAGACTTTATAGGAAGAGAGTTACTGAGTTAAAAGTGCGTCGTACTTTTAGGACGCCTTGTATTTTGCAAGAGCAATTTTCCGGGGGAAGCATTTCATTGTGGTACTTCATGAATAACTTGGAGAAATTTTATGACGCATAGAAAAAATAAGCTATCTAAACTTTTATCGCAGCCAGACTTTGTGAGAAATTATTTAAACGTTATGCACTCATATAATCGTGTTTTTACATGAACAAAGGAAGTTTTGAAGGAAGAATATGATTGATTGGTACTAGTTTAGAATATTATTTGTCATCGCTTCTAGAATTTGACCCATAGCAATGATTCAGTGGGAAGAAATTAGCGCGTATTTCTCCGTATTTCTTATTTCTCAAATAAGTTTTGTAAAACTAAATTCAAATCTTTACCTACAAAGCACCAGATTTCGTGCGAATCGCTGAAAATAGCGAAAAGAACAGTAGCGAGCAGAACTGTCGCCATCAGGAAGGTTGCAATAACATGTGCTTGTAATTTACAAGGGCATTTACAGACCTCATTAATGTACAGATAAGAAAGAACGGAATGCCCACAATGCAGTTGTTTTATTGTCGGTTGTCACCTTGTAAGCATCCTATTGTGCTTTACAACAAGTTGTGTAATCAATTTAAGATTGATATAGATCAGTAAATATTATTGCTCTTGTAGGGATTGGTAAAAAAGCTTAAAGAATATGTCTAAAACTACAAAATGTTAGATTGTTTTAGTTGAAGACGAGTATGTTTGCAAATCTTACCGAGCGGCCGGATGCTAGAGGACGCCATCAGGATTCCAGACGGACAGTTCCTTACTGAAAGACTATAAAAAAATGATGTTGTAGCGTTTTCAGCCAGATACATTGCATAGAGTGGGGATAGGAGGCGATTAAACAATTTCCTATTATATGTACATACATACATTTATTCATCCTCAGCGGTTATATACAATTAGCACCGCGATGATTCCGTTTATGGTTTGAGTTGGGCGATTTCGACTTCGATCTTCTTCGTTGACAAGAATATTCTTGATCGTGCCAATCAGTGCATTCGTGACGTTGCGCTGTCCAAGACTTCTTGACCAAGTAGACGCAGTGGGCCAGCCACGCTTTCTTCCACCTTGTCTTCTTGATCCTACTTGGTAGATGGTAGAGGTCAAAGGTCCAGAGCTAGCCGACCGTTTGCGGGAAGGATGAGGGAAGAAGTGCTTGTTATATGTAATGCCTAAATTTTGATTTAGAATGAGCGGTTCTTTGTTTGAGCAATTATTCAAAATCTTTTTCAACCCTAACCAAAAAATCGCTGCCAGATCGCTTTTTTGCAAAATTGATAAGATTGCGGGACAAAAAATCGAAAAACTCGAGATATCTAAAAAAGCCTCGATCTATTTCCCAGAAACTTTACAGCAAAGACCTTGCATCTTATAGCAACAGTACGGCAATCGCATGCAGAAGCAGTCGGAAAGATTTTTGGCCTTATGAGTCACTTTAGCAAAACTTGAGAGTTTCATTGAAAAATCTAGCAATCACACCAAAATCCAAGTATCTAAAATCTACTCAAACGTTGAGGAACAAATCACCAGTACTCGTAAAGGTTTACTAAAAACACTTGAACAGCCAACATTCTACTTTAAAGGCCTGTAAGTTTGATGAACTTTGATGACAATGTTTGAAAAAAACTGCTAGTGCTATTTTTCATTCGACCCAAGTAGCTCAAAAAAAACGAAATGTTTTCCAGTTTCAAGTTATATGAATAAATGAGTTGCATTGCCTATTGATCATAGAATGTTTTCCAGGTGCTGAGATGTTTTCACTTGCAGAAAAAGCATATTTAAATTTCGTTCTCAGATGCAATTTTCGACTTATGTTGTTGAAATCATTATGTTTAATGAATAATTGAATTAATACTGTGCTCCGAATCAGGTTTTTATGGCCACAAGGTTGGAAAGATTATTGTTAGTTGTGACTTATAATCAACTCGATGCTTTTGAGGTCCTTCCAAAAGTAATATTTTCGTCTTCTCAAACGAATGCTATAGTTTATTCTTGACCGCACGGACTGCTCATCACTGTGGAGCACTCGCTGCAGGGTAATGCGCTTGTTCCAGTACAGTTTGCCATTGTACAAGTCGTGCTCCCACACCAATTCAAACGCGCCGCGCGTGATCCGCAGCGTTCGAGCAGTCCGTGCGCTCAACGAATCGACGATACATCCAGCAGATCAAAGATTAAAAAAGATCTTGGATGCATCTAATCAACCTCGTTCTCCTTAAAATGATTATGACTTGCAAGTCAATCAACGAGCTTTCAGAAATATTAGCAAAAATAACAACTCAAGGGTTTTGCCATGATCAGAATTCGCAATTCGCCGTTTTTTTTTTAATATTCGATGTTTTTCCGAATAAATGCGAGTGACGACGGGTAGAGCAAACCCTATAGGATACCATATCTTTTTTTAAAGGAATAATCATAAAAACACCGGATTCCAGCAGATCTATCTAGAACATAGAATACGCATTAAACAACAATAAATTTACATCAATTTTTGAATTTGCGAGAGTACAGCCTAGGAAGCGGTCGAAAGCAGAAATCACGGTGGTTTGATCCATAAGAAATATACAAATAGAAGACCAAAATTACTCGCTGAAAAGAGAAAAAACCATTTGGTTATATGGAGAGGAGAAACAAAATGTTTTAAGGCTTACTTTAACCATCCGTTTTGGATTTTTTAAGTTTGTATGAAATTTCAAAAAAAAACGGCGGGGCTTGACCATGACAAAACAATGGGTCGTTCGATATTACAATTTAACTTTTGGTAGTTTTTTAAGAGCTTATTGTTTGCATTGCAGTGCAATAATTGCAAACATTTGGAGGAAAACGAAAAGTTGTGCTGAATGTGACCAAATCTTCTGGAGATTTTCAATCCACGAGTATGAGCTCTTCTGAAAAAAAGCAAAGTTTGGAGAAAAACTCAACATTTGGGAGAACATCTCGATATTATTTGTCTTTACTTTTCGAGTTCCGTTCTCAAGAAACTAAGCAACATGATTAATTAGTCCCTTCCCCTTTCAGGGACAAAATTCTTTCATTCTTACCCTCTTGCCATGAGCAGGTTTTCCTCGCGAAAACAATTCAAATCTTACTGCTTGCTTCAGCAAAATGCACTTACATTGGCTGCATAAACTCACTTAAAGTGCTGCGCAAGCGGCATTTTTTATGTTGTTATATATTATGACACCAGCTTACAAAAGTTATAAACCCTACAAGGTTGTGATCGTGGTTTACGGACACCTCACATCGAGTTCAGTATCTGTATACATCGTATCCTAAGCATCGAAAATGCATAAAGAAACTACCTCGCCACTAGAAGATGATCAAAGAGGCAACAATTATAGCAAATTTATCTTCTGTATTCCAAAATTCATGAGCTCTAACTAGTAATAGAGGTCTGAGTCAACTATCAAAACAATATAAGCCCGCTCAGCAGCCTTTAACTTATGTTCCATTCGCAACATGGTTTGCAATATTTTACTAAGTCACTCTTAGTGATAAATCACAGTGAAGCTTCAGAGAATGTGATATTTTTATGGTTAAACAACTAGTCGAAGACTGCCGTAACATCACTATTAAGGCATTGAAAGCATTAAGACTAGTAATTTTTACTTTGTAGGAGATCTGCTCAACATGAAAAAGACAAACCAACTTCGCTTTTCAAAGCTTCACCGATTCAAATGTATCGTCAAATCATTTTTAACTTAATATGCGTAGTGCACACCCATATACACGCTAACTTACGAACAGCGAAACTAGAACCTGCTCATTTCCAGTGATTTCTCTTTGTTTCCTTGTTTCTTTTGTTTTAGTTGGTTATATGTAGTCATTAGACCACATTTCTACATTTTATTGAGCTAGAAAATGTTTTACTGGGAAATTACTAGTATAGGTGCCGTCGCTAATAGGGCTTAGTATGCATTCTCACATATTAAGTTACAAATGACTCGAGGTTACAATAATTAAATTTGGCAGCTACTAATTTTTGATTATTCGATTCGTCTTGAACAAAGTAAGAGCACAGATGGATTAAGACAGGATTAGAATGTTGCATACCTTTGCATATTTTTCCAAATTTCTAGACTTTAGCCGTTCAAAGATTAAGGCCTTGCTCAAAATAAATCACTCATACTTGCTTCATTCCCGGTATGTCATGTAAATGTCCTTTTGCTGGCAACGAGAGACATGAGTCCCATTTCCATGGATAGTTTTACTACTAGCATCTATATTTGCTTGTCATTGTACTGTCCATGTAAGCTTCGTACTTTTCGTACTCCTCTAGTTGTGATTAGGTTCAAACCGACGTGATGAGCTGTACAGTCGAGTATTTTTCCGCTTAATATAGTGTGCTTGCACTGAAGGTGGAATGCGGTAAAATTTGCGCGTAAAGAAATAGCCACGCCTGTGACGCCGGCCATTTGCGCGCGCAAAATGCTGGCATTACTGGCGTGGCTACTTGTTCACGCGCAAATTTTACCGCATTTCACCTTCAGTGCAAGCACAGTATATTGAGCGGAAAATCTACTCGACTGTACTTCGACGTTTCTGTTCATTCACTGTGTTATTTACATTTATGATTGTATTGTTATGCAGCATTTTGAGCGATTCAATGAAATTAAAGAGAAATGCTTTCTAGATATTACAGCGATTCAATGAAATTAAAAAGAAATGCTGTACTTTCTAGATATTACATGTAGCTATGTTGTACAAAACAAAATGATAGAAACACTCTGTACAAGAAGAAAAGAATTGTCGAATATAGGTTGCGATGTTGAAGGAGTTGTTGATGCCGGAGGTGAGGAAGAAGATTGTTGTGTAGATAGTGCGGGTGTAGGTGACAGTGTAGAGGTATGAGTAGGTGAAACCTTTGTGAATATAGTCGAAGGCTTATGCGTAGATGTTTTAGTCGTAGGCGAAGGTAAGATAGTAGTAGTGGTCAATGTGAAGTTGTAATTGCTTAAATCTGTATTGCAGCAGCACCATTCGTCACCATACTTGTCGAAAATAGGACCCAACCTGTTGTAAAGGCAATGCAGAAATTTTCATGTTTTATGTAAGAGAAAAAGCTGACACGTTTTTCTTCTATGTTGGCAAAAGTCAAGGCTGTGCTTGACTGTCTAGCATGAAAGTAAAAGTAAACTTAGTACGAACATGGCTCTGCACGCTTTCGCTTCTGTTTGAAAGCGAACTATCCCATAAATTCGCACGATTATCCAGAGATCTTTGTATTGTGATTATTGTGAGTATGATGATTCAGTACTAAATTTAATGACAAGAAAAACATCGACATGCAATAAAGAATTCAAAAAACATTATCCTAGCTCAACAATGTTATGAACTTTTACAGCAATGACAACCTTTTTCCTGCGCATCTACTTGCAACAACCAACAAATCTGCATGAGAAGAAGTCTTATATTAG